CCCCAAAACCCCAAAACCCCAAAACCCCAGGATTCAAAATTTTGTAAAGTACAAGGATTGTAACAATATATTTAAAGAAATTGGTCAAAAATCATAAATAAAATGGAAAGCCTAAATTAAAAAATGCCGAAATTGTTATTGATCCCTATAAATTCATCATAAAATCTAAATCTTGAACATATCTAGAGATTTTTTTCCTTAAAAACTTCTCAATATGCTAGAAAATTGTTCAGAAAATCCTAGGATGAAACAGATTTAGAGATGGGAAACCTGCTTTAGCATATAAACATTAATAAGAGGAAATCATTTACCGAATATCAACTTGAAAGCGGGGACATTGGCCTTCTTGCAAAACTAGGTGATGCATCCATCAGACTTGTTAATGCTGATCCAAGCTAATAGGAGGAAAAATTCATTAGAAGTGAAGAATTCAAGCAGATCTGCTAAAAAGAATTGTAGGCATAGCCCTATGACGTTTTCATTCAGGTGGTTCAAATTCATTTCAATACAAAGTTTGCTCAAAAGCAAATAACATTTGTATTTACTTCATTGGCTTTATCGGCGCAAACTAAAACAGAGGCAATTAGCATGCTCTCTGTATATATCACTGAAGTTATATCTAGGGGGTTCCTATGTATTAATGGATAGCTACCACCTGGACTCCCATAGCCTTTTGTTATCTAGAATGATGAAGGAGTATAGTGTATAATTGCACCTGATCAATTAGAAGCTCCAATTTTGCAGGCAGGAGCCTATACTGGCATTCTGGCTATTGTCACAGAATACATACTTCTCTATCAGCATTTCAGTGCTTATTTAATTACAGAGAAGAAGTTGATTCATAGATAGTTTTTTTACAATTTTACATCCCAAGACTTCCAATTAACTTTAAAAACCACTTAGACTACCCACATGCATGATAAGCTAGACTACAGTTTCATCCTTCATGAAGCTTAAAAACAAATAATGAAAAAATCTCAAATTTAAAGTTTTTTTGTTTCTGTTGCTGATTTGATATCTGAAAATTCCCCTAATATAATAACTAAATATGTGGAAATTACCAATTTAAACTAAGATTTAACTGGTAAGAAAAATATTGATACAATTGAAACTCTTGCTTCAAAATATTAATTCACATAGAATAAAATATTAATGAAGTCTTCGAATGGGTAAAATTCATAATCCTTAGTTTATGATTTTGATAATTCTCTAGAAATTGAACAGCCCTTAGAATATCTAGAATATAAATTGGCAGAAGGCTATATTTATTTTTAGACTCTACAACTACCCTTGGGATCAGACCATGGAATCTATGACTCAGTTCATTGCATTGTTGATACAAAAATGTTTCCACATTGGAATGAGGAATAGTAAATTCCAGCAGAAAAATGTTTGAACGTGAAAATTATGGCTGAAGAAAATAAGAATATCCTTGAAAAGCGGGAGCCAAAGATCTGTATGCTAGGACTCACAGGTTCTGGCAAGAGTTCTCTGTGCAATGAGATAATATTTTAGGATGGTAATGATCCCATCTTCTTTGTTAATGACAATCTCGATTCTCTGACAAATGACTTAAAAATTTATTATGCTCCTTGGTTTGACAAACAGGATAATGTCACTGTCATAGATGTTCCAGGATTCGGAGATTCATAAGGAAGAGATTAGCAATTCCTGGATTAGCTATGTTAAGGAATAAAAAATTAGGGGGAAATTGATGTCTTTATACTCGTTATTAAAAAAGATAGAATGAGTTCTCTTTTCTGGGAAATGCTTGCATTATATAAAGAAATGCTTGGTCCTAATTGTTGGTAAAACTTTGTAATTGTGTTAACTGGAGTAGATTTTATAAGTGAAGACATCGAAACCAAGGAAGAATATTAAAGGCTGTTAGAGAAGGAAGAATAATAATTTTAGGAGCAATTTTCTAGTAAACTTAAAGAGCAGAAAACTTTGATAGTTGCCTTAAGTTTAAGGTAACCTTAAAATGGAAAGAAAAGAAATTAAATTTGGTAAGAATGCTTGCACTAATCTTTGAATCGAATTCGAGAATACTGTTTTACTAAGGAAAAATATTTTACCAAAAATATTAAAAGAGTGAGAACAAAAGAATTATTGTTAGATTTCGCACAGACTTATAATCGAAACGCCACTAGATGTAAATAATAAACTCTAGATTTTATAAATAGCAATTAATTAGCCAATTACATAACAGAAAAAGTTACTAAGGCCAATAAAGACGATAAAGATAAATGGATATCAGAAATAAATTTTGAAAATTATTTAAAAATAAAAACAGAAACAGATATACTATCATTTATAAGAGAGAACTGTAAAAAAATACTCTTGTAAAATTTAGAAAAATTTCATTAAGAAGCATAAGAATGGGCAGAAAAATTATCTGCTGCAAATATAAAGGGTGAAATTTAGGAAGAAAATTTTTACAGTTTCAAAAATGAAGTTATCATTTTTTTTAAGGATGGCAGCCTCTTTAGCTTATTGGGTGCCTTAAAAATGGCAACGTTAGAAATGACCTTATCATAATTAAGTTTTTATTCCATGGGAGGTTTTGCAATATTTGGAGTTTATTGTATAGCAATGAAGGCAAAATGGTCAAGAAATGAAGTAGTTGAAAAAACAATCAAAACAATACTTGATAATATTGAGAAGACAAAGGACCATTTAATAAGTAAAGTTTTAGATGCTTGGAAATAAGCAATTGAAAAAGCTTTAGAAATAGCACAACAAAGATCAAATATAATAGGTGATGCTAATGATTACTCGATGTTTTTACAATAGAAATAGCTTCAGTGATATGATTTATACTATACTATTTTCTATACTTTATGTTTCATATATTGCATAAAAACCTATTAAAAATACATAAATAAATAATATATTTTCATTTATGATCATTTATGATTTTATGGAATTTTAAATTATCTTTAACTTAGGGGTTTTGGGGTTTTGGGG